TGCTCAGAGGGTGGAATGGGATTCAAAATCCGGACTTTGTTCCCGGGTGTGGATCGCCCGAGCCATCATTCCGTTCAGTACCTGGGGGGAGAGACCAAAGCGCTACATCGTTGACGGGGAGGGCGGTGACACCTGACGTCAGAGTTCAGACCTTCTACCGGTACCAGCTCCTGCCACAGCCCAGGGCCGTGCCTGCCATGCTCTCTCTGGTGAACTGTCAAGTACAGGACTGAGCGTGGCCGACTTGGGCAGGCCAATGGCCTGAGGGTCGCACGACGACCCTGAAGCCCAGCAGAGAGAACAGAAAAGTGCGAGAGAGAGAGAGAGAGAGAACGCGCGAGAGACGGGTTTGCTAGATATGCATGAAATGTCATGCATACACAATAAATGAAAAGGGTGTAGACAGATAGATCAATCATATGAACATAGGCGTGTATGTGTATGCGTATGTTTATGTGTGATGTATGTATGTATGTATGTATGTATGTATGTATGTATGCGTGTATGCGTGTATGCATCTATGTATGTATGCATGTATGTATGTATGTAACGTACGTAGGTATGTAGGGATGGATGGATGGATTAAATACACGGAGGGAGGCTCGCACTTCAGTGTGTTTTGGGGCTTCAGGGGTTTAAACATTGCCTAGTTTAGGCTTACTTAACCCCACTCATCATCTTGAGTTGATGCTGATGTGCCAGAGTTCTCGCGGCTGTTTTTCGGCAACTAAATGCACTGCCAATCTTAAAAGTCTCAAGAGACTAGGCACTCGAATTCGGCTTTGGTGGCATCCGAACGCTTCCGCGATGGCGATGGCTGGAGGAGCATTTTGGGCTCACCGGGTGTTCGTGTTTTCCTAGGCCTTACACCGTTGCTTGGGAAACACTGAATGGACAAATGGGGGCTTCGGGCTGGGATTCCTCATTCTTCGTACTGGGGTGCGAGGCCGCGAGCCTCAAGCCTAAGGCCGAGATCCTCAGGTTCCCTTGAAATCAGGGCTGTGAAGCTTGAACGACTGGAGCTCACGAGACCACGGTTGGCGTTAGGGCTTCATGGGTTGATCTTGGATGTCGTCCCCGTTTCTGTTTTCGTTTACCATGCTGATTATTCCACGTGCTATCGCGTGCTCCCTTTAGTTTTACAGACTTGCGAACGGCCGGTCAAGACTGCATCGAAGATGTTGAACCCTGTAGATGTCAAGAGGACCTGGATCGACTTCGAGCATTTTGCCGACTCCTGGGAGGATGCGAAGTTGACGGCACAGGAGAGATGGGGCTCGGGCCATCAAAATCTGCCGGCTCTAAATTACCCACTGTACGCTTTTATCCCGCGCTATAGATGGCATGTTCCAGAGTATGTATGGTCTCCTGCGGGTGAAACGTTTTTGAAGGATGAGAGGACCGGATGAAGAGATTGCGCATGTGTTTACAAGGATCTTGGTATGCATGTTTTCCTTATTCAAGGCAGCTTGATCCAGTTCCCTGATCTTTTTTGCAGGTTGGAAGCACTCGGCTTGTAGGAGCTGGTGCTGAGTGAAGGCATTCTCGGAAGGATCGAACAAAGAGTTTAAGCAACAAACGCCCGTTTGATTGAAGCACTTTCAGTCTCCCTTGAGCATGGAACTTCCTAGACCCGAAGCCCCAAACCCTCCAAGCATATGCCTCGCCTGGTCCGTCTGAGTGCGAGCGGCCCAAACATTGCAGGACTATACAGCTGCTACGCCCTCTTGGGCACTCTTGGGCTCACCCGACGAGGGTTTCGCCCCGACGGAGACGAGGAAGAAGCGTGCCCGACCTCGTCCTATCCTGTCTGAGGAGAAGGAGACGCTGCAAGAACCCGGATGGGCCGTGGGTTGGAGTTTCTGCGACATTTTCAACGCCTGCTAGTAAGCTAGTACTTACTTCGGCTCCTCCTCCTCCTCCTCCTCCTGCTCCTACTCTTCCTACCAAGAGCCAATACTACTGCTGATGCTCCTCCCCCTGATCCTCCTCTAGAAAGCACCAGGCGGACAACTTCGTACAAAGCAGAGGGGTCAGATCACCTTGAGGAGTGGGGGTCTTCGTCGTCAGCCAATCTACACTACTACTACCACCACCACAACTACTACTTGCTACTGCCACGATTATTAATTATTACCACTACTACTGCTGCTGCTACTACTACTACTACTACTACTACTACTACTGCGGCTACTGCTACTTCTACTGCGACTGCTAGCGCTGCTGCTGATGCTGCTGCTACTGCTATCGCTACTGCTATCGCTACTGCCGCTGCCACTGCCACTGCTACTGCTACTGCTACTGCTACCACTGCTTCTAGGGTTACTACTGTGTTGAGTACTGCTACTACTGCTACTGCAACTACTACTACTACTACTACTACTACTACCACTACCACTACCACTACCACTACTACTACTACTACTACTACTACTACTACTACTATCACTACTACTACTACTACTACTACTACTACTACTACTACTACTACTACTACTACTATCACTACTACCACTACCACTACCACTACCACTACTACTACCACTACTACTACTACTACTATTACTACTACTACTACTACTACTACTACTACTACTACTACTACTACTACTACTACTACTACTACTACTATAACTACTACTACTACTACTACTACTACTACTACTACTACTACTACTACTACTACTACGACTACTATCACTAGCACTACCACTACCACTACTACTACCACTACTACTACTACTACTACTACTACTACTACTACTACTACTACTACTACTACTACTACTAGTCCTCGCGGAGCTGTCAGGCGTGCCATGCGAGTGAAAAACTACTACTACGACTACTACGACTACTACTGCTGCTACTACTACTACTACTGCTGCTGCTATTGCTACTACTGCTACACTGCGACATTGCTACACTTAGACTGCTACACTGCTACTGCTACAGTGCTACAATGCTACAGTGCTACTGCTGCACTGCTTTACTGCCGTACTGCTATACTGCTACTGCGACTACTACTGCTACTACCACTACCACTACTACTACTACTACTACTACTACTACTTCCACTTCTGCTGCTACTACTACTACTACCACCACTACCACTAGTACTACTGCCACCACTGGCACCTACTGCTCCTGCTCTTGTTGCTCGCTAAGCTACCTGCTGCTGCTGCTGCTACTACTACTACTACTACTACTACTACTACTACTACTACCACTACGACGACTACTACGACTACGACTACGACGACTACTACTACTACTGCTACTACTCCTACTACTCCTACTGCTGCTACTACTACTACTACTACTACAACTACTACTACTACTACTACTACTACTACTACTACTACTACTACTACTACTACATTTTCTACTACTGCTACTGCTACTGCTACTGCTACTGCTACTGCTACTGCTACTGCTACTGCTACTACTGCGGCGACGGCGACGACGAGTACCACTCTGCTAATTCGGGATAACAGATAGGAATGAAATGTCAATTTAGTGACGCCGATGCTTGGAAAGCACCCATACGTCCGGAACCCCGAAAACTGAAGCCGACGCACCGCGAGCCCTCAGGTTAAAGAAATTCTCATTAAACATGCAAACGTTTGAATATTGTTTCTTCCGCTATGGCAGGCTATGGCCATTTCTGAAGATGGCCCAGGCGGCATGTTGAGCCACAAGCGACTGGTCAACACAAAAGCAAAACCACAGGCTTATGAAACTTCTTCTTTCCAGGAGAACTGGCGGCAGCGATGGTTGACCGACACAGGGCCAAGCGCTGCAGCAAACTGAGAGTTTTCGCGCCGCCCGAAGGAAAAAGCGCAATTCTGCGCGGGTAATGTACTCGCGAGGAAGACTTGGCCTGGCTACATCATCGTAGGGTCCTCTGGTGGTGAGGTGGAACCTCCCCGCAAAGCCCAGGCCCTCGAAGCATGACAAGACCAGTGCTTGGATTTGAAATTGGCCCCCATCATCTCAGCAGCCAGGTGTATTGGTTGCAAGGTTCAGCAGGGTTTTTAAAACTTGAGTCCTTCTTTCATCATCAGATCCTGGGAGTCGTTCTGGGCTGATGCTGGTAAGCGACATCACATTCAAAATGAATGTGCGACGCCTTTCAGAGCTGCCCCGGTAGGGCTTTCATAGCTTGTATGACCAGAAGACCTCTAAGTTGTTGAAGCCCCACCTGACCCACACTCCCACCCCAAGCAGAAGCTCGTGGTATGCCCATTAAATCCTAAGCCTAAGCTCTGGAACAGCTCTGGCGGAAAGGGCGTGTTCTGAATTCCGTCACTTTGTGCGGCCGGTACTGCGACAGGCGTTAAGCTTCCAATCGAAACTGCCCCTCGGGGAACAGCTGCCTGAGAACGACCCCCAAGAATTCATTCTACAGGCCTTGCTGAAGGGCATGTGTCTTGGCTTCGCAGAGCGGGCCACGACCTGAGGCAACTTCCAAGTAGCGCTAAAAGCTTGAGGACTTTGAGGTTGTGGGCCACACGATTTCGAATTGAGAGCATCCGAGTTTCGACATCCCTTCAACCCTTGGAAGATTACCATGCGGCAGCTGCTGTTGCAGAAGGGCGACCTATCCATCAAACTGTGGTTCTCCTGCCTCTTTCATTTGTTGTTGTGATATAGTCCTTCTCGATGATGTATGCCATGAAGATCTTTCCTCAGGGCAGGATACTCAAGAAACCGGCAAGTCAGATCAGATTAGGTGTCCCACATCGCGTGCTCCATAAATCTTTGTAGACACACTGCGGCCGTTCCGCAGTAGAGCGAAGCACCCCCAATGCCTACACAGACATGGCTGTCAGGAGCGACGAGGAAATGCCACCTGTAGGCATTGCCCTGACCCCTTCCAAGCTGCAGGTTTAATCTGCGGCATTGTTCCTCAAATCAGTCGCAACACATCATAAGCCTCCCTCGTTCCTACTCGGCGGCCGTGTATTGCGGCCACAAACCTACGAAGGCTCAGGCCTGCCATGGGAGAAAGAAGTACGAAGGAGGTGCAGCAGCAGACCGGAGACCCGTCGTTGGAAGCTCGGGAGGCGGCGAAGGCGGACGACATAAGCGTGACTGTTCTGAACCTCGCGGGCCGCGAGGTGCATTCCCCGGGTAGTGAGAAAAGTGCCTCCTAAAGCCTATGCATATGCTGGAGTACCCAGCCATGGTCCATGGTCTCTTTCGCTTGGGAGTGATTATGATGCAATTCGTGAACGAAACAGAGGAGATTTTGCCACTTGCAAGAGCTTCACAGACATTTTATCACACATTTCCAGTACGAGACATTACAAAATAAAGTTCGTCGTCGGGCCTTGGAGGACCGGAATGCAAGCAAAATCTTACGTACGCACCCCTGCGCAACCTAAAGAATGGCATTCTGCGACCGCCTGCCGCAGAACAGGAATTGGCAACCTCGAATCCCAAGTTTCAAGTGTCCTGCCAAAACAAGTCCTTGTGGACTGGATGTCACTGTGTGCTTGCTGCACAACAATAACTTGCAGATTAGAGTTCCCTGCCCGAAAACGGCTCGGCCCCCCCATAAGCGCCCCCAGTAAGACAGCAACAGCAACATGTTCCCGCCAACTTCCCAGGTGCTGTCATGTGCTTTAGCAGACGCGACCACAGTGCGCGAGCTTAAGAGTCTGGTGGCAGCCGCGGGTGGTCCGCACGTGCGCCTCCAGCAACTGTCCTTTGGCAGCTGCATCTTGAAGGATGCGACCTCTTGCCAGCAGTGCCCGACTTCAATGGTGAGAGCATTAGCAGGTCGTGAGGTCGTTGAGCACGCAGGCTATGACGTGTAATGTAGCTCGGACTCAAACTAGTAAGTACTAAGTACATGCGGCTCAGGTTGGGATGGACTTCTGCTGAACCGGTTGCGGTGACCATGACGCGCATACTGCCAGATTTTGAGAAGCTCTTGGCCGGTCTCCTGCACCCAAGATATCTGACGCGGCCCGGGAAGTTGCAGGAGTCTGATCTCTGGACCTTGTGCTGCCACTGCAAAGAAGTCTTTCTGTCGGAGCCAATGCTGCTGAAACTCGAGCCGCCAATGTGTGTTGTTGGTAATATGCATGGCCACTTTGATCAGCTGGTCAAGCTTCTTGAGAGATGCGGAAGCCTTCCTGACACACGCTATTTGTTTCTGGGCAATTATGTAAGCAAGGGGCCGCCGCGGAGCATCGAAACGATGGCATTGCTTTTCGTGTTCAAGGCTCAGTTTCCTGAGAATTTGTTTTTGCTACGGGGCCAAGAAGACAATGCAGCCACGAGCCGGGCTTCTGGCTTCTACGACGAGTGCCATCGACGATTCCACGTTAAGCTTTGGAAAGCTTTCGTGGATGTGTTTAACTGCATGCCGGTGTGTGCTCTGATTCGCGAGAAGATCTTCTGTGTAAGCAGCGGGCTTTCCCCCGATCTCACCAGTTTCGATCGGATCCAGGAGTTGGAGCGTCCACGCCACGTACCCGAAGAAGGCCTTCTTTGTGACCTGCTGTTTGCTCAGCCAGAGACTCGGAGCGGCTGGTACAAGGGTCCGCTGGATATTGCGCGTACGTTTGGTGAAGACGTGGTGCAGCAGTTCTCTGCAGAGCTGGGACTGGACCTGATCGTCCGGAGCAACCAACTTGTTGACGATGGCTACGTTACTTGCCGAGTAAACGGCAACATCGCACTCTAATTTGTCGAACCTGCAAGCCGTAGACCATGTAATTGTACGAAAGGGCATTCCTTCAGATGAGTGATTAGGGCTTAAGGGCCTAAGTGGGTGCACACTCCCTGCCTTAAGGCATTCTTTGCCAACGAAAAGCTTCTGACTCTCTGGAGCATTGCAAGCTGGGACTATGAGGACTCGCATAACCTGGCTGCAGTCATGACAGTTTCCGACGACCTGGACATCAAACTCGAGGATCTGGTTGCGCGGAAACAGCCACCTTTGAAGCTTAAACTGGACCGAATCTTGTATTCTACAAGTCTAGAGAAAGCCAGAGGGAGATGAGTGTCAAGATCTCTTTTACATGCATACATGCAGACGTACAGACATACATATATAGGTGCACGTTTCTGTTCGTTGATACTGATTAGATTTATGAAAGTATGCATGTATATATATCTGTATATATATATATATATGGACACACACATACTTTCCCCCAAGATCCACCGATCCACCACTGGCCTTCTTTCAACAGCAACGTCTCCATCCCTTAGCAACCACACATGAGAGAAGCCATTCTATACCCGTCGAGACAAGATGGCTTCTTTAAGTCTGACGGGGAGGCGGGAAAATCTGTATTTCTTGGGAGAGCCAGAAGATTCAGTTGATCCACCCTTTATCCCATACTAGGAAACAGGAACAGGTATTTTTTGCAGTTGTAACGTTCACTTGCTCTAAATTTTACACGGCAGCATAAGACCTTTACCAGCATGCGCGGAATTTGAATGCTTCTGTACATCTTCGCCAGCATTACACGGCCCTGCTATTCGTATCGGCAAGCGCCCATTTTTGACACAGAGGCGGCATGCAGAAGCTGCCTCAGGTCTTCGTCAGCAGACTCGGCTATCATGCATTCCTGTCCCAACCAGACGCATGATCTCATTTTAGTTCATCTATGTGTTTCTACTCTGACTCGCTCCTGCTGGATCTATGTAATGTAAAGACTTTGACAACATGCAATGAACAATAAATGCGCGGAATTTTGAGTATGTGGAACAGTTAGGATTAGGATCGAGACACCTCGCAGCATGCTCGCGAGTGGAAGAGAGGGGGTGTGCGTGGATCTTGCGGGGGACCATACCGTATACTTGATGATTCAATGCAATATGTATATATATATACACACATATGAACGTATATGTATATATATATACACACACAGAAAGCGAGAGAAAGACAACTGCCCTTCGACGTGTGCTGCAGACATATGATGACAGAATCGCAAACCGAGCACCCGGCAGCTTGCCCCACCCTGCGAGGTATTTGACAAGCTCAGTTCTGCAAGTTCTGGTGTGGCTGGAGAAGGCCGGACAATAACGCTCGAACTTCAGCAAAACAGTTACCAGAAGCTTCGAAGTAGTTTTAGAGGCATGAAGATTACTTCAGGGCTTATCAGGCATGGTGACAGAGGGGTCGTCGCAGGATGTTTTTTAGGTGTTTCAGGTTGCAGTTTTGTTAAGCGTTGTCGGACGAGTGCATCAAGCCAGCCGGCTCGGGGGCTAGGCCCGGTGCAGTGTGCAGGAGAGTACCGTAGCAGATGCAACCAGTTACGCGGCAACATCCCCCAAACGGACTATCAGGGCCCCTACTACTCTATATACCGGCCGAAGCATAGGTCTTCGGTTTCTTTGGTCAGGATTGCTTTTTTTGTTCTTCGCAGCATCGGCGCCTTTCTCGAGCTTGGCTTAGGCATCAACAGGGTTTGGGATGAGATCTGCGGCTCAGGGCCATCAGGCCAAACGAGCTGACAGGTTGCGAGATGATGGAGCCTGCACTTAAGGCCATGACCCAAACACAGATCTTCGCATAATTCAAGACTTGTCAGGCAAGTGGCACAGGAACCCAGGAAAACAACAAGGCTACCCAAGCCGACATAGCTGAGCCCACTTAAAGCCGCTTGGGCAAGTGAACCTTAGAAGCTTTGAGCTGAACTCATGGAAAATGCGCGAAAGTCTTTTCGGAAAACTCTTGGGCTCAAGTTGCTCAGGGCTGGGCAGAATCCGGGCTGTTTGAGCCGTGACCCTTCATGTGGTAGGCCAATTCCGGGATGCTGTAAATTCAAAGTGCATGTGGTATTAAGTCATGGCTGAGCTGAGCGTAGAGCAGCCTCTTGACCGCAGAATCAGCGATAACGGCGGCTTAATTCATTGATTTGATTCCCTTGCCTTCCGGCGCAGGGCTCCAAAACCTGCTTTGCTGAGCAACAGCGGGTGGCACACATGCCCATGGCCTCGGCGCCGGATCGGCCGGAGAAAGCTGTCGGAGACGATGCCCCCGATTCCCCAAGTAGCCTTCTCGAGGAGAAGATTCAGGAGGCTCGACTCCAAGTGCTGAACGCCGCGACCCCCAGACCCGTCTAGCAAAGCAAGATCCTAAACCCTCTTACTGTAGACTCGCAAAGGATTTGTTTACTACTACGTTTAGAATTGAGAATGGTGTAAGTCTTGCCCAATTTGAATTTGAAAGTGACCTGTAGAGGCCGAGGTCGGCTCTCCGCTGGGCGGCATCCGGGTGCTCGTCTTGAGCCTTGCAGGCCGCGAGGTGCGGCTCCCGGCTTCGCGGACGTGTGGATATCTTTACTTCCTGTCGTCACCATCCATGGAAGGTGGAGCTTGTGCCCACCTCGCGAATGAAAGGACAGAGAGCGAAAGAAGCAGAGCGAATGCAAGCTGGCCCATGTGTAAGAGAGTTGTTCTTGGCACAGGTATCTCGACTAGAATCTGGAGTTCTTGACTTGCTTCACGTGAAGAACGAACCCGACGGCGTATGTCAGCAACGGGAAATGATGTCCACATGAAAGTTGTACTACGGACATGGTCCAGCCTGGGTTGCTGAACCAACCCCCTATGGCCAGAGAGAGAGAGAGAGAGGGGTAAAACCCCTACACCATAGCCCTGGCGAAAGAGAGAGAGAGAGAGAGAGAGAGAGAGAGAGCGAGCGAGAGAGAGAGAGAGAGAGAGAGAGAGAGAGAGAGAGAGAGAGAGAGAGAGAGAGAGAGGGAGGAGGGATGTTTTGGGCGGGCCTATGGCCTGAGGGTCGGACGACCCCTAAGCCCTGCAGAAAGAAAGAAAGAGAGAGAGAGAGAGAGGGAGGGAGGGTTGGGCGGGCCTATGGCCTGAGGGTCGGACGACCCCTAAGCCCTGCAGAAAGAAAGAGAGAGAGAGAGAGAGAGGGAGGGAGGGAGGGTTGGGCGGGCCTATGGCCCGAGGGTCGGACGACCCCTCGGACGACCCCTAAGCCCTGCAGAAAGAAAGAAAGAAAGAGAGAGAGAGAGAGAGAGAGAGAGAGAGGGAGGGAGGGTTGGGCGGGCCTATGGCCTGAGGGCCGGACGACCCCTAAGCCCTGCAGAAAGAAAGAAAGAGAGAGAGAGAGAGAGAGAGGGGGAGGGAGGGAGGGAGGGAGGGAGGGAGGGGTGGGCGGGCCTATGGCCTGAG